TGAAAGCAGTCTTGCGAGTGAATCCTGCTTCATACGTAAACAGAATGCAATTTAAAAAGTTCGAGCGTTTACGATATTGCTGTAATAACCATTCGCAGTAAATTACACCACGTAGAAAATCAGCAGGCTCCAAAGCTTGCACTTTTTAAACGTAGTATGGATCTAGGTCATGTTCTTTTAATGTACAATGCAACACAAACTGCGAAACTCCAACTTTAGCTGCAAGTCGGCGAGTGCTGATGTCGCGCTCGTCTTCGACGCGTTCCAAAATTCGTTCTTCAGTTTGCAGTATTTTTTAACTCCCTTGCAAACAGTGAAGTGGGGGAAACTTGATAATGAACTTAAGTCCGCCTGTAAGTCCGACTATGTCAGTCTTAAATAAATTCATCATGTCTCTATTTCTTGAACTTACACCGTTTCATTGTTATACCACTACAATTGACATCTATAAAACGGCATTTTTTGTTTGCGATAACGGATACATAGTTGAGAAAAATTGGTAATTATTTTAGACCAGAAAAAAATTGTCCCATTTCCAAAAAAGTGAAATTTTTTGTAGCTGAGCGCCTATACCTTCAGTTCAAGTTTGTCGCATCTGATAATACAAGAGGTGGTCCTGACTACTATATGTCATTAAGTTAAACTGATTATTTATTCACGAGAACTCGACACCGATCCTTTGCAATATGAGCCAAAAATTGCTGCTTTCCCATCTTCACAACTCCAATTAATTTTTTCCCCCCACGGTGTCAATTTCGTTTGAACCATACCGTCGCCGGAAATAACAAGCAATGTTTCAAATAGAAGCCAATAATAATAACGCAACAACATAAAGAACGGCGGCAGTAAATAGTCGCCGTATCGGTATCGAAAACAAGTCCAATCGAGATTACGAATGACAGGAGCGTAATAAAACAAATAGGCCGCTGTGTGCGATAGCGAGAAAGAACTCGATGTCCCGACGAAAGCGCATTTGGTCCGACATTAAATCGTTCCAATTTTTCGTAACAATGCCGTTATTCTCCTCCAGAACGTGTTGGAAAATCAGAAAGCGCATCAGCGTAATTTACTTTCAAAGTGCTATCTTCTGATGGGAATGCATTCGTTCGTTAACGTTTTTATTACAGCGGTGTTTCGTTTTACTAAAGTTTGCGACATTGTACTTTGCAAAGTTGTACCTGGTTATCGGTCGGTAGGTGTATCCTTGTGACTGCAATAAGCTTCACCTAAATTTATGAACAGTCTTAGTTATGGGTTTAAAATGGTTTTTGTGGAAACTATTAATTATTTATGACAGTATTACCAGAGGGAGTTTTATTGCTTCAAACTATCCCTTTTGCCAATATTTTATGATTTAAGTTACGACCTTAAAAAGATAATAGTTTTCCTAAACTCTGAATTAAAATTAATCTCTGGCTCCATGTTTCACATGCCTTTCTTATATATGAATAAGTATATTATATAAATATACTTATATACGAGCGAGAATTTACGTGACATTCTAATAATATCTTTAAAAAAGTTATTAAACTGTGCACTTGAAGTTGCAATTTTTACAAACTGCTTAAAACTATCAATATTTAAAAAGGCTAACATCCACAATATGCACAAATTTCTATCGTCCAATCTCCATTGTTCCGACAACAGGATTTCTTTTTACTTCCCGAGCGTAAGCAAAGGCAGTATTGTAATCGAGTCCGTCGGCCGACTCTCTACTTTTACGTTTTCTCGATCTTTCATGACCCCTAGAAGACGAAGAAATAGGTCTCCCATTTCCGTCTGTCTGTCCGTCTGCCCGTCCGTCTGTCCGTCCGTCTGTCCGTCCGTCTGTCCGTCTGTTGTCCCGGATTTTTATTAGACAAATAATCTCCGAAAGTACTCGACCAATTGTTGTGAAATTTTGTACTTATATTAAGAATATCATGTAGATGGTAAAACGCTAACCAAAATTTGTCTAATCATTCCCACCACTAATGCGATGACGTCACTTCAAAATTGTACATAGTAAATGGGTTTTCAATTGTATAAAATAACATAGTCCTACACATGTAGTTTACAACTCTGAATCGACTTTTCACCCGAAACGTCCAGATTTTTGGAAAAAAAATCAAAATTATAAAACAACATTTTGAAATTTAATTTTTAATCTGCTAACCAGAATGCTTTGAAATGTTGCAGATGTTTTAAGGCTATAAAGAGCATCATAAATTTTTAGTCAAAAAATATTTGCTTATCCCCTCCAAAAACTTGATGACGTCAGCTCAAAAGTTTGTGGAATAAATCATATCTAAAATGTACAAAATATGATGAGTCTGTACTTGTGATCTATCACTCCATTCATATTTTTTGGATTTGCATATACAGGGTGACTCAAAAAAATTAATGAATGCGTAAATATATTTTATTGATTTAATCAGGAACTACAAAACCGAATGCTCTGAAATCTTACAGATGTTTTAAGGTCATAAAGAGCATAATAATGTTTAGTCAAAATATATTTGCTTATACCCTCCAAAAACTTGATGACGTCAGCTCGAAAGTTTGCCGAATAAATCATATCTAAAATGTACAAAATATGATGAGCCTGTACTTGTCATTTATCACTACATTCATATTTTTTGGATTTGCATATACAGAGTGACTCAAAAAAATTAATGAATGCGTAAATATATTTTATTGATTTAATCAGGAACTACAAAACGGAATGCTCTGACATCTTGCAGATGTTTTAAGGTTATAAAGAGCATAATAAATGTTTAGTCAAAATATATTTGCTTATCCCCTCCAAAAACTTGATGACGTCAGCTCGAAAATTTGCCGAATAATTCATATCTAAAATGTACAAAATATGATCAGTCTGTACTTGTGATCTATTACTCCATTCATATTTTTTGGATTTGCATATACAGGGTGATTCAAGAAAATAAATGAAAGCGTAAATTTATTTTACTGATTTACTCAGGAACTACAAAACCAAATGCTTCGAAATCTTGAAGATATTTTAAAATTATCATAAGCATGGTAAATTTTTGATCAAAACGTATTTGGTCGTCCCCCCTAAAAAATTTATGACGTCACCAAAAAATTTTGCTGAATAAATCCTATCTAAAATGTACAAAATATGGTGAGTCTCTTCTTGTGATTTATCATTCCATTCAAATTTTTTCGATTTGCATATACAGGGTGACTCAAAAAAATTAATGAATGCGTAAATTTATTTTATTGATTTAATCAGGAACTACAAAACCGAATGCTTTGAAATCTTGCAGATGTTTTAAGGTTATAAAGAGCATAATAAATTTTTAGTCAAAATATATTTGGTTATCTTCTACAAAAAACTGATGACGTCAGCTCAAAAGTTTGCCGAATAAATCGTATCTAAAATGTACAAAATATGATGAGTCTGTACTTGTGATTTATCATTCCATTCATATTTTTGGATTTGCATATGCAGGGTGACTCAAAAAAATTAATGAAGGCGTGAATTTATTTTATCGATTTAATCAGGAATTACAAAACCGAATGCTTTGAAATCTTGGGAATATTTTAAAGTTATTATAAGCATGGTAAACTTTTGTTCAAAATGTATTTGTTCATCCCTCCTAAAAAAATTGATGACGTCACCCTTAAATTTTGCTGAATAAATCCTATGTAAAATGCAAAAAATATGATGAGTTTGTACTTGTGATTTATCATTGCATTCATATTTTTTAGATTTTCTTAAGAGGTGGTTCAAAAAAATTAATGAAGTCAATTTATTTTATTGATTAAATTAAAGGCAACACTTATTAGTATTACACCCCAACCAACCCAATTTGGTAGACACAAAATTTGTTAAAGGGAAAACTCGGTTGAAACATAAGGGTAGCACGCTTATTTACATCGACTTTAACATTACAGACCTGCATTTGTTTTATGCGTTCACTTGGTTCCGCGAATGTGAAATAGACATGTTTATAATCAACCAATTGTGAATTTCACCGTCAAGAATTAAAATAAAACCCAATGTTTTATATAATAAGCGGAAGTCGAAGCAATAAAACCGATGGTCGTTTTGTTTACAGTTTCTCTGTTTGACTCTCACGTATGCTGTTACGCCTGTCATCTTAAATTAAGAATGTTTATACATACACGATTTTCAGTTGCCTCTGATACGTATTACGTGAGTAAATTGTTTCGTTATTTTATTGATTATTACAAATCAATATTCAAAACGACCCAATTCATTTTCCCGAAAATGTGAGAATATAATAATTTTATTCTTAGTATTACACTACATCTATCCCAACTGATATACGTGTCCTTGCAAAAATGTTGATGACGTCATCGCAATTTTTTTTTAAATTCCCACTACAAAAATGTAATGAGAAAAAAAACACAATAGGCATGCAGTCGTCAAGTTTCCGACAGCGAGGGAAGTACTGTCTAAACTCTTTAGACCAATTTTTTAAATTATTGCACAAACATTTCACTAATTATATTTATGTATCCCAAATTATAACAGATTCAAAGTATCGATTTTTAAAGTCTAAATCTACTTCATAGACTATTAGCAAACTCATTGCTAGTGTTGTAAGTGTATTTGAATAGAGAATTCATGTGGGCTGTACATTCTGCGATCTGTGAAAAACTTTTGACTGCGTCGACTAGAAGCACGTTTCGATAAATTATTTTTATATGGCATCAAGGGAACTTAATTAATGTTAGTTAAAAACTATCCTACTAATCATACGCAGTCCACATTTTATAAAACGAATATTCATCTCAAAAAAAAGTTGCTGCTGGTCGTCCCGCTGGGATCAATTCTAGAACCCCTCCTTTTGTTTTTATTTTATTATATATATACATAAATAAATTTGCCAATGGGACGCTATTTGAACAAACCTATCACCAACTTGAGATCCGAGCTTTCGTAGCAAGAAAGTTATTTTATTCAAGTTATCACATACATACATACAGTCGTCGGCATTTCGATTTAACCACTCCCTAGTGAAGTTTTCAAAATTTCGCTGGTGTAAACGGCTTTCCGTACCTTTTTAGAGAGAAAATGGCCGACGATTAATGACATTAGTTACTTTTTTTTGACATTTGTTTGATCGCCGTCTTACAAGGTTCTGTGCTTACAAGGCGACGGCTTATTAATTAAGGGGCTCTTTTATGTGGGTTAGAGCTTAGGGTACGCATTTTCAGTGCACATACACCGACATTATCAAACTGTGGAATCGAAAGTGCAGTATAAATCTGCACTGCCACAATTGATGATATAAGCAGTTAACAAACAGTTTACCATCTCGTTAACAAAAGGTGGACATCAATAAAATGGGCAAGTACGACTCAAAGGTATAGTGAAAATTGGAACTTTTATTTATATTTTTGCCTATCTATGTACAAGGATGGTGCACGAAGAATGACCACATGACTGGCAGTTTCTATTAATATTTCCATCAGTCTTATTTGTGCTGCCATGGACGATACTGACTTATGGCTTGGTTCTTCTGAATCACAGAACTCTGGTGCTTGTACTAATAATGCGTCATTTGAAGATTTACACATTTTAATGAAATGTTACCAGAACTGTTGAGTATTTTGAGCCCACTGTATACAAATAAATATGAGAAAATTGTAGGTTATAATTTATAAGAAACTACATGAAGTATTTAAAGAGATAAAGCGTGAAGCAAAAGGAAGTGATGTAAAGAAGCAGATCAATTCACTAAGGTTGAATCACAGGAGGGAATTAAATAAAATGAAATGTTCTAAATGTGATAGAAAGACAATTCTTAATGAACATAATTTATAGGAACGTAAACAGTAGTCTCAACTGTTACAAATCAGTGTATTGTCAAAAACTTTAACAATGCAATAAAACAGGCACAACTAACTAACTCATTAATACAATAATTGTTAAAAGGTGTGACATTTATTTACTTAGCAAGGTAAATTAATCATCTATTACCTCTACAATAATTGTTTCTATATCAATCTCTGCATTCATCCATTCACACATCTCAACATCATCTACACAAAGCTGCTGGCCTTCTCCAATATTGCCTTGTGTTTCATTCATACTGGTTTCAGGATCCATACTTACATTTAATGTTCTGTTGGCTAATACATCGTCCTGCATAATATCACTTATACTGTCTGATTCATCTGAACTTAAATCAGATTCACTATCAGATTCTCCAAGCGATATTATTACAGGAGGAATATCTTTTACACTGGTATTACCCATCATTCTTTGCCAATTATCCTTGATAATATTTTCACAGTGGATTACACTTGATGTCCACATCTCTGGTGTATATTTAGACATAGCTTCAATCCACAAGTGCTTGATTTCCGATTTTTTGGAAGACTGCTTCAAGATGTGTTTGTTATAGTATGGTTTACAGAATCCCCATACCATTTCTATAGCATTATAGTGGCAGTGATATGGAGGTAAACGTAAAACTTCAATATTACTCTTTGACAACAATTCATCAATCTCATATTTACGAGTTGATGGTAAAAGAGCTTTGATAATATCCCAAAGCTGTTTTTTTGTCAAATTATCGTCAAAAGGATTTTTTTTTGTGCAAGCCAAAATTGTAATTTTGATTTAATCCAAGACAAACGAGGCAATTGTTCTGCTAACACCGAATGATAAGGTGCATTGTCCATGATGATAACTACCTTACCGTTAATAAAATTAACAGATGGAATTAACTGTGTTTCCACCGATTGCCTGAACAACTGCCCGTTCATAGTCTTATGATAGTCCCTGCTATCATTATTGCTATCTAAAAATAGCAAGCAGTTTTCCAAAAAACCAAATTTACCCTCTGCATGAAGTATGGTAAATCTTCTACCTTCATTCATTACTATTTTCGCAGGCATGCCTCTCCGATCACTCTTATGCACCCATCTTCTTACTGGTTCACCATGCTGGTACACCCACGTCTCGTCTAAATAAACAAATGTCACATCTTCCATTAACTGTATGTAATGCCTTAAAAATTTAATTTTTAATCCCTGTAAGCGGGGCGACTCAATTATAATTTTCCTGTTTTCAACTTTTTTAAAATTGTAACCCATGGATTTAATAACCCTTCGTAGAGTCCGGATACATGCGTTGTAATTAAGATTTTATGTGGCAAAATTAAATAAATCCTGAATTGTAAAAAACTCATTCTGACGATTTTTTTCAAATATGTGAAAGTTTAGGTCTTCTTTGAATTCAAAATCCGTAAACCATTTTGACTTCTTTCGTGGGGAAGGTCTAGGATCTTCGGGAAGTTGTCCGGATTTGTGTTGGAGTAAAAGCGTTCTTATTTGACTTCTTGAACACTGCAGGAAAATGAGCTGGTTAATGATAGGATAAAAGGATGTTACTGAGTCACTGGTTGGTGTGAAAAATGGACAACGTGAACTGTGTGGTGGACAAGTAACGTTGGAAATGTTATAGTTACTACCAAGATTTCGTACTGAAAAAATATTCGCTAGTCGTAACACGTGTTCATGCTGGGAAGACGAAGGATATGCCCGTTGAAACTCTTCGTAACATTTTACAATCGCAGCTTTTATTTGTTTTTTGAACAAAGTTCGCGTTCTTGGCTTCATAATAATTATTTTCAAATTGAAACGCTCTCTTTTTGAATTTGAAGCACGCTGCGCTAGTTCGAAGTTGTTTGCGTCGTTTACGAGTCGTTTGATGTTATTGTCGGTTACAAACGTCAAAGCGCTGCCAATCCGTGGGGCTTAAAATTACCATGGCAATAATACCAACCTGACGTTTTAACAAGTGGTTTTATCCATTTGCGGACGACTATATCTATGTTCAAGCATTTTGACTGATTCGAATTTTCCTACTCATATTTGTAAGTTTCGTAGCGTAAATACCATTGTGTGAGTCTTATCCTTATTTGGAAATAATTTATTATTTTAGGGCCAGGTTTTTTTAAAGAGTAGGTATGCTTCCCTATTTTCTTAATTAATAAGTCAAAGTCAAAATTTGTATACAGAAACTGGATGATGATGAACTAACTGGTGACAATTTTCAACAGAGCCAGCTCATTCACCAGATCTTACTCTTGATTTTGTAACGAAGCAAATTTTCGCGGGCCGGAAACCGTGACGCGTACCGCGAGAGCCGGGGGTAAATCCACGATCGCCCAGCCGTCGCGGCGGAACAGGATTCCGACCGGAAGCCTTGAAAGGTGAAGAGTGCTGTGGCTGTGTGTAGAAAAGATTTTTTGAAAAGTTTCGAAGTGCAGTTTGACCCTCCGACCACCGTAAGTAGCATTTTGGGTCGTCTGCCCGTTTAAGTACCGATTTTTGAACCGCCACCCCGAGCGAGAAACCGTGTCACCGTCATCGGGTTTTTTCTGTCGTCACCATCAGAAGTCAAAACCCTCGTGCACGCGTCGTTACCGCCACCGCGCTCCCCTGCCGGGTCGCCGTACCGTTTTCGCGCGATTTTCAGCTTCAAGGTCGCCGTCCCCAAGTCCTCGAGGAGCCCGTCCTGAAGGAAGTCGCCGCCCAGGAGGAACAACCGTACCAGGCATTTAATTATTTTCGTTTATTTTTGTTTTTAAAACCGTTTCGTATTTATTTAAGTTAGGTTTGACAGAGAATAAACTCGATTATTATTTAAAATATTCATTGCCGTTTTATTTTATTCTTGTATTTTCGCGGGCGCTCACCGCCTGAGATCCGTCTCTCCGGCTTGAGAGCAACCCCGGCGCTCCCTCGTCCGGAGAAAGAGTTGTAAATTGTTGAAGTTTTTTTCTTTTCTTTTTTTAATATTCAAATATTTATGTTGGTTCGCGATATTAAAATTCATCATCAAAGGCGGGGGATGATTTTGCAATTGGGGAATAAATCCTTGTCTTATTATTATATTGACTTATTTCGTAATTGTTTTTACCTGGCCAATATGGAGAAATAAAGAATTTTTGTATCCTCCATATTTCGTGTTATATTTAGGGGCGCTTTTCCGACCTTGGGGTTCACCACTTGGCATTAGAACGCATTCGGTCATCGTAATAATAAAAAAACAACGTAGAGGTCCATTGATCACAGTCCAAAGATTTTTTTTTATTTTCGAGGGTTTTTAAAATTTTTCTTTACATGTCAATTTAAGGCGGGATGTTTGAGTTCCCACATTTCAAATAGGTGAAGTTTTTTACTTCCTGAGCGTCAGAAAAGGAAGTATTTTAAAAATATATTAAATTATGTAATTGTAATAAATGGTGTCTGCGAGACAGACAACCAGTAAATCAGATTTTGATCACGCCACGTTCGACAACGTTTTCATGACCTACTTGACCTAGAAACATTTATAGACACGCTGTATACCAAAAAAATATTATTGACTACAAATTTATCTTAAATCAACATAATTATACGACGCGCTATGCTGGGAAAATTGTAATTGAATTATGTAAACTCAAGGTAAGTATACACGCTATAAACTGTGGATGAATCGATTGAAAGCTGGTTTAATCGGGATGGTCCTAGCTATATTTGATGATAATCACTTCAGCCACTACAATATAATGAACTCATTACCAGTGGTCGGGAGTAATTCAATTACAAGTAATTCATTACTGCAATTCAATTACTTTAGAAGAAATGAGTAGCTATAATGAATTACTTTTTAAAACTAATGGTTCCCATCACTGACGGGAGATAGTTTTTTTTTGTACCCCAGAGGTAATAAAACGTCGAGAAAACATGAAAGTGCAAATCGCCCGATGGACTCGATTACTATACTTCCTTGGCTTACGCAGAGGAAGCAATAAAGAGGTGTGGTAGAAATGGATTTTTGCCAAATTGGTCATGTCCAGCCCTAACTAAAAACGTCTTCTGTAATTTTTCCGGTATCATTTTCAAATTAACCTGAGTATATTTTCATGTATTGTCGCAGGGAGAACTATAAGCTCCACAAAACAAAACCAAGGAAACTGTCCCCGCAAGCCACATTAAAGCAGCATAGGTAAAAATAAACTTCCAGCTATAGCATCCACCTACGTGCTGCTAAGATGTTACGTTTTATCGATTACAGTTCTATTATCGTACGCCGAACGGTTTGACCTTTTCTAAAATCGGCTTCCAAATAGCACATTTTGCTGTCTCCCAAAATCGGATTGATCGATAGGCGCCCTCCAAGAAGTGCAAAGCGTGACACCGTTTTTCCAAACCGTAAAACCGTCCTCCTGAAAAATAATTTTATTTAAAGTTTCCCGTGTCTCCGATGCGGATCATCGATACTTTTCAATTACACGCGGCATCAAACAATTCCCATGATCCCCGCTCCCAATCCGCCGCCACGTCCGCCGCCTACCGGCGGTATCATATCACATATCTGCCAGCGGTAAACTTTTGATGTGTACGTGACGCACTCTCCTCTTGGGGACTGGGCTGATGTATCACCTGACATCCGGCTCGTTACGCAACGGCGCCGCGACGCTCGGGAAAAAAGACGCCTCTGCTGCAACCGCCACCAGTATGACAGGTATAACGCCGTCTTATTTATGGAGCCATTCTGCGACTTGTTGAGGAGTTTCCGAGAGACTCTTATTATCCAGGGACGGCGTCGGCTCTTATTATCTATACGGTGGAGATACTGTGAAAAGTTTCGTGCCGGCAGCAAAGTTGCAGAGAATATCGATAGGGGGTGGTCTATCGAGTGGACTTGTTCTTGTTGCAGTTTTAGCGGCGATTGCAAAGGTTGCCTGCTACCTGTTGTGTGCAACGTGGGAATTTGAAGTACATACATGCAGACAGATAGATCTTTACTACGTTTTTTTGATCGCACGGTGTTTGGCGAGTCAAGCTGCATATAAAATACATAATGGAATGCGGAAACAAATGTGTAACGTCCTAGGGAATGATACTCAGAAAAGTAGTAAACTACTTTATGACCACAACTACAATTGAATCGTTTCTTGCAAGAACAATATAAATCACGTAGGTAACACGTGTCCAGAGGCTCATAAAACTTCTTAATTGATATTAGGAATATCACAACATTGCAGATTTTACTAGAACATTTAGACATGTCAGCCTGGCAAAAGTGTTATGGATACTAAATTTTTATTTATGAAAGTTCCAGGTCGTTCGTCTATTGAGGTATTGAAGAAATGTGTGTTGGTTTATATTTTGAGTTATCGTTTCTCAGAGATCATGCAAACTAAATTTGCTCTTCGATCGACTT